GGCGGGAGGTACTGGGGGCGCTGCGGGGCGGGGATGGCGGGAGGTACTGGGGGCGATGCGGGGACGGGGCGGGGACAGCAGGGGGCGCTGCGGGGCGGGCACCCGGGGGGAGGATGCGGGGCACAAAGGCCTGTCACGTGCTTGCCGGGGCCCGCGCGGACCCGCCCCGAGACAACAGGCCCCGCCCCGCCCCCAGGGCCGCTCTCCCCGCCCCAGCCTCCCCCTCCCGCCAGGGGGCGCCACAGCGCGCGGCGCCGGGCACAGCCGCCCCCCGCCTCATCCCTCGCACGGAGCCGGCCGCGCCCACCGCGCGGGGGACGGGCTGGGGCAGCGGCCCGGGTGGGAGCGAGACTCGGTCCGGCCCCGGGTCACGGCCCGGTCCCACCACCCCCGCCGCGCCGCGCCGCGCCCCGCCCCGCCCCGCCCCGGTCACAGCCCAGCCCCGCGCCTCACCCCGGGCAGGCCTCGCGCAGCCCGCAGCTGTCCTACATTCCGGCCCCTCTCACCGCCTCCCGCCAATGGCGGGCCGACCTCGAATGGAGACCCAATCGGAACGACGCAGGGGGAGCTCGCCCCGCCCCTCCTTCCCATTGGCCAGGCACAGCCGCGGGGCTCCCCCTCCCACCGGGGCCGCGCGAGGTGCTGGTCCTGCGGAGGGGGGGGGCTCTGGCGCGCGCTCCTGCCCCTGGCTTGCTTCAGTGTGCGCGCGCCTGTCCCCGGGACCTCCTGAGGGGAGGGGCGGCAGCCCCCTCCTAGAGCCTCTGCCCAGCCCTATATAGAGCCTATAGGCTCTTTGCCCCCTGGAGACCCAACCCAGCCTAGCCCCTATATAAGTCACCCTGCAGTCACCCTCTAGACGCTATGCTATGATAACACTCTTCCCTTCCACCAGTGTGTCAGCAGGGTGTTAAACACGGGCTACTAAAGTTAGATAGTTTTAGATTGCCAGTCTGGATAACTTGTACCCAAGAGTTTAGAAGAGCTGGCTGAGGCGCTCGCTGCTCCATTCGCGTTGCTTTCCAAGAAGTCTTGGAAAACCAGGGAAATGCCAAAAGACTGGAAGAAAGCGAACGTTGTGCCAATATTTCAAAAGCGTAAATGGGATGGCCAGGTGGTCTGACGTTGATCCTGGGCAATATAATGGAGCGGCTGATACAGGACTCGATTCCTCCCCCGCTTGCTTGCAACACAAAGGAAAGGCTGTGAAGCTCAAGACAACGTTCTGTCTGTAGCTAGACGCCTGAGTCTGAATGGGGCAGAAGAATGACCTGAAACCCTCTCCACTGGCTGAGGCATAATTGCCTCAAGCCTGATGCTGTGACCACGGGAGCAAGCTCATGGCCAACCCTGACTGGGAAAGCAGAAGCAGTGTTGAGCCCTGCGGTCGCTGAGCCCCCCCGTTGAGTGTGGGGAGACACAGGCAGGGAAGGGGGATTGCCAAACATGGTTGTCCTGTCCACAGGTAAGAGAAGCCCCATAGAAGGGTAAAGCAGCTGGAAGGCCAATGCTGGTAACGGACACATCATCACAGTGTGGTCGTGGCCATGGTGGGTTCTCTTAACCAAGAGACCCTGAATCACAGCCCACCCAGGGGTGAGGAGGACTCTGTCCTGGGGGTGAGGGCAACACATTAACCCCGAAATGGGTCCCTTGCATACACACAGCCCTGGGGTTGGAACACAACTCCAGAGGGGGCCTGCCAATGTGGGGGGCACTCTGCATCACCAGAGCCACAGACATATGGCTGGGTTAAGACCTACCTTGCAGAGGGACAAATCTACACTGATCCCCCATCCTCCCCTGCAAATGCTCAAGGGGTCACTTCCTACCCCAAGCAAGGGATAAGATAAGAACACCCCAGGGTACAGCCAAGATGGCTGACACATGCAAGAATGTGGGTTTACTGCCCTCCTCGCTCCCTGGCAGACGAGGGCAAGGAGGCGGAGGCAGGGCTCCATCCCAGTTTCAAACCCAACGGTTTTGGGGTGGCAAAAGAATGAAAACTCCCCATGTGCATCCTGCTGGTGCCATCCAACAGACCAGACCTAAGGGAGGATGTGAAACTGCTCTGGATTGTGTATTGGAAGTTTGATTGATTAGAAACTGTGCTGTAAGAATCATGAAAGTGCCTGGTAGGACAGCTACCAAGGGATCGGAAATACAGTGTTTCCAACTCTCCTGATTTTGTCATGCGTCTCATGATAATTATTGTTTTCCTTAAAGCCCCACCTCCTGAGGTCAAGTGGAGGTGTGATGATTTCAGCCTTCATTCTTAAAGAAAAAGTAACTTTCTAGCCCTCGTGGCTGTAGAGAAAGCTTCCAAATGTGACCCCAGTGCAACCTAAAGGCTCAAAAAGCAAGAGGCAATAAAAAGAACACCCAATCTATTATTTTTACATAATCTCATGATTTTAAAGCCAATCTCATGATTTTTGGTGCGCCTGACTCATGATTTTTGAACATTTGGCAATACTGGAAATAGGCTGTGGCATCTATGAATAATGTTTATGTGTTCAAACTTCCCCAGCTCACTGATTAAAGTAACCCTGCTCAGTTCAGTCTTGAAGGGGGAAGAGAGATGACAAAGTGGGAATTTTCTGTAATATTTTTATAAATACTATGTGTGCCTCAGTTTCCCTCTATGTTGCATTGCTACCCAGTGGGTGTAAAACGGCCAACACTGCTCTTGGAACAGTGCAGGAGGTGTGAGTGTCACCTCGCTGTCTCTGGAATGAAGAGAGTCATTGAAGAACTGGCTCAATTCAGGGGTCCAACAAGACAGAGAGATGCCCCAAGGACTGAATGATCAACACCTAACACATGAAACCCAGCAGGTGGGGCTTGGGAACTGAGCTGGAGAGAGGGTGTCAGAAGGCTGGAATTGGGGTGGCCGTTTGAGAGGGACTCAGGAACAAGGACAGAGACTAGCACCAGAGATGAGTCCATCACAGCTTGGCTGGCCCATCATGGCTTAGCCAGGGTGGACTATGGCTTAACTTCTGCATCTCTGAGCTAACCCCAGTGCGTTCAGATTCTGTAGCCAGGTAACCAATCGATGGTGCGTGGTTTGGAGAGGCTGCCTGTGTCGCTGTGGATACTCACTGAGAGCACTGCACCCTGACGGGGGACAGCACAGATCTCCCACAGGAGTCTGGCTGGGCTGGATTTGGTGCAGGGAGCCACGAAGAGAAACGGGGTCACTGGTGCCCACAACCCAGTCTCAGAGTCTTGGAGGTCACAGGCCTGCCCTGGTGGAACGGTGTGGGACCTCGGGGCCCGGCCCACCACAGGGGCACTCCCAGGAGACTGGTTACAGGTCGTGGGACCGCATGACAGGAGCTTGGCTGAAGATGGAAAATCAATTTCCCCCAACCCTGTAAGAGGGGGCTTGCATGTGAAGGGTGGAAGACCCCCTAGTCCAGAAGAAAGCCCCTAAGGTATGGATGCTGGACCTTAAAACCCACAATGTTTGGAGTGGGTCGGGGAAGTGTTACAGAGCTGCACAGGGAGTTCTGGCCAGGAGAGAAAAAGCGATGGGCAGACTCATAGCAGTGGGACGGGAGCCCAGTTTAGGTGCAGGACCCACTAAGGTCAGAGCACGCTGACCTGCGGGGGGAGCGAGACCAGCCTTGCACTGCAGGAGAAGGACCCTGGATGCCTCTAGAGGACTCTGACCCCAGCTCAAAGAATGCTCGGAAGTGGTGAGGATACTGAGGCAGGGAACAGCGTGGAGGTTTAGTGTTTTTGCGTAGACCTGTGCATTTCTTGTGCGATTTAGTAAAGAGCAATGGTGAGGGGATGCTAAGACAGAGGATCTGCACCCCAAGAGGGGTCTAGAGACCCCCAGTAAGGGCAGTGCCTGGACTCTGTTCAGACTCCAGCGGCTTAAAGCACACGGGGATTCAGCATTTGGATCCTCTCAGCAGTATGCTCAACAGGCTCTCCTGGGACTCCGACACCTTCGGAGAGAGAAACGGGCGCCTCTGGCAAAGAGGTGTTTACACAGTGTTCCTCAGTGCCCTGGGCAAGCACGTCAAGGCCAGTGCATGCTCTGCAAGCCACGGCCTGGGCTGGCTGGAGTGATCCTAGCCTGGCCTCATAGTGCTTTATGCAGGGGCTAGCCCCCTGCTCCAACGGATACTTCCAGGGAGGTGCTTCTCTCACAGGCCAGAGGCAGCTCTCAGTCTGCTGCAGCAATGCTTCCCACTAGGCCTAGTGCTGATGGGCTTGTGATGGCAGCAGTTAGCAAAGGCCCGGCCCCAGAGGTGTGTGCCCGCTGCAGCCGGCAATGAGGGCATGCCTGGAAGCGGAGCACTTTGCACAGTTACTGCAGAGAACAGAGACCATTTGTGCAATGGCAGATGCTGTCTGAACGTGCTCCCTTTGGTCCCTGTGCACAGCCTGGTGGGACCCCAGATGTGGGGCACTGGCCCCTCACAGCAGTCAGCCTCATTCACAGGCCTTAAAGGGCCTGTCACAGGCACTCAGTTACCTGTGGCTCTCCGGCTCCAGGATGGGGGCAGGATTCGTTCTCTTTGAGCTGAACAGCTCAGCTTCTCAGTGAGGCCCCACAAAGGCCCCTGCTTTGCAGCGCCCCTTGGGCTCAGATTTCTTGGGTGCAAATCCAAGCCTGCCTGCTGCAGAGCCCAGCACAGACCTGGCACAGGCTGGGATTGCCCTGTGGCCAAAGTGGCCTGTTGAGTGTGGTGGTCTGTTTCTGGCTAGTGGCACCTAGAGATTCATGAGTCTGCTACAGCCTTGGCTAAGAGCCACGTGGCTTTTAGCTCATGCAGTAGAGGCTCATCTACTTCAGAGGTCCCAGGTTGGATCCCGCCTGCCAACAACCAGGGTCTGTCGGCGTTACACTAGCTGGCCAGTGATGGCAGTGTCATGGTGACACCTGCCAGCGTGATGGAATTAGCTGGCAATGTAGTTAATTACCCATCTGCTAATATGCAAGTAACAAGCCTCTAATGTGTAATTAATCACCATTCACAACACAAAAGCCAGTCATAGCAGGAGTGGGTGCTGCTTTGCCCTCCACACGCACTCGGATTTGAACCCTTTGCTGGAGGGCAGTCGGTCGGGAGCAAAGCTGACCCCCGCTGCCTTCAGTTCATTTTGGGGTTCTTAGTGGCCCTCTGACCAGAGAGGTTCTTCCTGGCCCGTGTTGGCTCTGGGTTGGGTGGGAAGAGGGTCTTTTGCCCTCCCTGCTCCTCCGCACTGGCCTGGGAGCTGCCCAGCAGTATCTCGTTGATGTAGCTCAGTGTTTGGTTGTCGAAAACCATATTGAGGTGTTCCACTCCCGGCAGCTCCATCACATGCACTCGCTGCTTCTGCTGCTTGGCCCAGCGGCTGCACAACTTCATGCTGCGGGTGCTGACGGTGTCGTCCCCGTCCCCATAGACCACGTCCACGGGGTCCTCATAGGGGAAGTGCTCATCGTAGATGTAGGTCTCCACTGTTGGGAAGCCCGTGCCGTAGAGGCAGTAGGTCTCCACGCCAGGAGGAGGCAGCCCCTTCAGCAGGTCCTTGGTGTCGTTCCACATGTACCAGCCATCCTCAAAGTTGACGTCGAGGAAGAAGCGCCGGTAGTCCCGGTACGTGTAGTTGTAGGACGGCGTGGAGATAAAGACGTGTGATTCGGGCCAGGCTATGTTGGTCGGGAACATCCAGGGGCTTGTGGTGGCCATGCGCTGTTCCTCCCGCAGTTTGATGTTTGTGACCATCGGGATGCCCTGGTTATCTCCTGCAATTCACACGAGCACTCATCAGGAACAGCAGCTCTAGCAAAATTAACAGATGTCCCAAGGGTCCCAAAGCAGTGTACAGACTATATATACAGAGATCATTCACTGCTGAAATGCTGCCACCACTGGGGGGCGGGGAGGGGGGGGGCAAAGCTGCTGCTCAACAGATGCGCTGTAATTCAGGGCAGGAGCCCAAGAGAAATATTGTTTTGAGGTAAAACTATTGGATTATTGGCTAATCCAAATGATGGAACATCCAGCAACACAGCCCTCAGCACCTGGTAGCACTGGGGTCAGTCCTGACTGCGTGGGGAGGGCGCCCCCTACAGAGCACCCTGCCCTGCTGAAGCACAGCACCCTGTAGCACCGCACTGGGGCATTGGGGTCAGCACTAACTCTAAGGGGAGAGCGCTCCCTATGAATCCCCCACACCACTCCTTACAGCCACAGTCCTTCCCTGCTGGGCACCTGTCCCTGCTTCTCTAAGCCCGACCAGAAGTGTGTGTTGTTGGGGGGGATGGGGACAAGGTTTTGTGCTGGGGGAGTTTCTCAGCTGGTGGTGCTGGGTGTCCGGCAGGAAGGGAAACGGTCCTAAGCCTGTGTTAGGTTTTCTAAGCCGGCTCTGTGTGTGTGTTGCGGGGGGAGGGTGTTTCCAAGGGTGTTGGTCAGAACAGCCAACTCTCCTGGTTTTCCTGCGAGTCTTGTCATATTTGGTGTATTTTGGAAAGACCCTGCTCCTGGAGTCCTGTGATTATTCCAGAGAATATCAGCGTCCTTTAAACCAAAAGTAAGTTTCTGACCCTCCTTGCTGTGGAGAAAGGCATGAAAACGTGACTCTAACGCAGTCCTAAAGGCTCAGAGAGCAGAAGGCAAAGGAAAAGCACCCACAATGTCTTTTTTTTTTTTTCAAATTGTCTGATTTTTTAGCCCAACTCATGATTTTTGAATGTCTGGGGTTGACAATACTGGGTGAGGGCTCAGTGGTGTTCTGAATGGGGGAGAGACGGGGGAGGAAGTCGGGGGGTTCTGTGTCAGGGGGGAGGGGGTGTGTGGGGGGGTGTTTCTGAACTTGTGGGGGTAGGGCTGGGGGAGGATTAGAGTGGGGAGGTGTAATGTAGAGGAAATAGTTTAAAAGACCTCCCTGTCTTCTGCAGCAGAAGCCACCAGAGCCCTGCCAGAGCAGCAGTGTATACACAGAGCTAGTCCTTGCTTAGTTCGTTCTTTGGACCCTAGCTGTATCTGTTGGTTTCCTCATCTTCGGCACGTGGTGTAAAGAGAGTACAGACACAATGGAGAGGGGACCGGCTGTGTTGGCAGGGTGGGGTGTGGGGGAATGGAGCCAGTTGGTGAGTGAGGGTGGGTTTAGGGCCGGTCAAAAAAACTCTCGACAAAATGTTTTTTTGTTGGGAAACGTTGATTTGTTTCAATGGGGACTCTTTGCAGGAACATATTGGCTGCGATGCAGCTTTCATCAGGAGAGGACGCTGGTCACGATGGAATTTCTGGTGGGGAGAGAGACCTACCCCAGAGCAGCCAATGGGCCCCGTTGTATAACTACAAGTCATCAGGCCAGAGAACAAAACAACCAGACTCTGTAGGCCACTGGGGTGGGTGTGCACCTGGGCTGTAGGAGACACAGGTTCACGTTCTGCCATTCTAGGGAAGTGCCCTGATGCAGGGTTATAGAGTCAGTTTCTCTGGCCCAGGGATTATTTATACAAAGTGGAAGAACTTCAACAGGAGAGCCTGAGAGAGCACTGCCCCAGAATAGCCCCTTGCCTGCTGATTAGCACTCTCACCTAGGAGGAGGGAGAACTTAGTTCAAATGCCCCCAAATCAGGCAAAGCAGGATCTTGAACCTGGGTCTCCTGCATCCTAGCTGAGTGCCCTAACCACCAGGCGAGGGGCTATTCTGGGGGGAAGGAACTGTTTCCCAAGGAGCTGTAAGTGGAGTGAATTGGGAGGAGGGTGTGCGTGGTACGTGCAGCCAATAGCAGGTAGAGCTTCAGTGAGAGTCTTTTTACTGTTGTTCCCTTTCTACGACAGGCATTTCCTCCCCTGCCTGCTCTGAAGTGCTCGTCCCTGGCCAGTGCGGCAATGCTACCCACAGCAAACCCTGGACGGGCTCCCTGTGACTGGACTTGTGCTCCCTCAGGGGCACTGCCGTCAGACACCAGGTGGTTGGCGAGCTCCTGATGGAGCCGTTTGCAGATCTTTGCCCACCCTGGGGGCTCTACAACAGATTCACACCTCCCCATTATTCCATGAAAGGAAGGCAGGAAGCGGACAGTGGGAGCCATCACCCACCGGAGGCCAGGACGAGCATGGACTTGACGGCCCCGCCCCAGGGGGCACCGAGGGAGATGAAGCCCGCGATGAACCGATCTTTCCAGGCCTGGGGCTGCTGCAGCAGGAAGTAGAGGATGTTGAGGTTGCCCAGGCTGTGTCCGAGCAGGAAGACCCGTTTCTGGTAGGTGTCGTGCATCTCCTCAATCAGCGCCTTCAGGTTCTGGAAATACTCGGGCTGCTGGTCTGGGGAGAGAGGGGCATCGTGCCATGGGCAGGCCAGCCATGGCCAGCAGGAGCCCAGCCGGGGGCAGGTCCCTAGACCCTGGCACCATGAGACACAGTAACCCAGATCTGGACCCTCCAGTGGAGGCAGAAGAGGAAACGCACTGGGGGGCACTCATACAGGCCCCCCCCCACGAGAGAATCACTCCCTGCAGGGTTCCTCCTCCCACATCTCTGCCAGCATGGCCCCCCCTCCCCTCAAGGGTGTCTCTTTCAGGCTCTCCCACCCTTCTCCCCGCCAGGCTTTCTGGCCTGGTCTCCCTCCTGGGCACGGGGCTCTCCCTGGGCGCCAAGCTGTCTGTGTGGGTGCCCTGCCGCCTCCCTCCCTGGCTGTCTGGGCTGAGATGGAAGCTGGTCCCAACCCTGCACTTACTGGGCCCAATCCTCCAGTCGTAGGGGGCAGCCCGTACCGTCTGGTCCCGCACGTAGCCGTTGTTCACCAGGTTCTGCACCAGGGTGTGTAGGTAACCTACAGAGAGACAGCATGGAGATTGGGGGGACCCCAAGAGAGACAGCATGGAGGTAGGGGGACCCCCAGAGATACAGGGCAAGGATTGTGGGGGTCCAGGGAGGTACAGGGTGGGGGTTGGGAGGCTCTAGAGACATAGCATGGGAGTTGGGGGCAGACTGCATTCCTCCCCGCTTCTTGGCTGTGGGCAAGCTCCTGCCTGGCTGCCCAGTGTCTGGGTTCCTCTGGCCAGAGGCGTTGGCTCAGTGCATTCTGGGCATTGTGCTCTGGGTCCCCTCATTCCCTGGGATGGTTATGCCGAGTGGCATTGTACAGCCCTCTCCTCTCAGACACGGGTCACTGCACTGTGGGCTTTGCAGAGATCTTGTCTCCCCTGGCCCTCAGCTTCCCGCCGCCCCCTCCCAGCTGTGGGGTCTGGATGTGCAAGGGTCCCAGAGCTGGGACAGACTCAGGGATAAAGGGTAATGGTCCTGGGCTTCAGAGAGCCCTGCAAAGCCAGGCCTGGGCAAATCCTGCAGCAGCCAGGGACCCTTTTCTACTGCTGGGCACCAGCAGCAGGATCAGCACCCTTGGGAGCTCCCCCCAGACCACGGGGACCCCTCGCCTTGGACACCGAGAAGGGCGCCCCTCACCTGCCAGCTTGCTCTTGTCCAGGTACTCCACGGAGTAGGTCTTGCCAAAGCCGGGCACGCGGATTTGCACCCCAGGCGCGTTGGACATCTTGCCGGTGCTGCGGTTATACACCACTCTGCAGGGACAGGACAGGAGATGGCAGGTGGGTGGCAGATCCACCCCGCCAGGGCACAAAGGCGAGGCCTCTGGGCGGGGACAGAAATCCAGGCAACCCTCATCCCTCACGGGAAACACCCTGCTTGGGAATTCAGGATGGGGGTTGTGAAGAGGGCTTGTTTCTATGGCCCATTGCTCGCCGCAGGGCACGTGTCAGCCCTGAATAGCCGATGAGGTGGCTGTTAAGATTTTGTGTTATTCATGGGTATTAAGGCTCGAGGAGCACATTGTGACCAGTCTGTATATCATGGGCCAGAGGATCTCACCCAGGGATCCCTGCATCGGCCCCAGCCCTCCCAGGTGAACTAGAGCGGGTCAGGTGCGTTGCAATGGGCAGAGATGAGTCCTGGTCAGCTAGAGGCAGAAATCCCTGGTGACAATGCAGAAGACCTGCTGTGTGGGGTTAGGGGATGGGGAAGAGGTGCCCCATAACTTGGCATTTCCTGGCTTTTCAGGGTTTGCCACACTGACCAGCCTAACCCCTCCAAGGTAAAGGTTTTGTTTTGTTTATGTAGGAGGATTTCATGTCTGGGGGGGCAGGGATGCCCTCCAGACCCCCCCCCCCGGCGTGTGGGGACGAGGAGGGAGCGCCCATGTCTGAGGTTGCAGGGAAGAGGGGGTTAATTGCTTGCATGGAGAGGCCTTGTGAATCCATCTCTACCCTTCCCAACTCCAGCACAACGGAGCCTGTCGAGTGCTGATCTCTGACCTGTGCCCGCCAGGCCAGGTCTGGCTCCCAGAGCACAGGAGTCTCCATCCAAGCTGCACAGCTTTAACAGAAGCTGGAGAGCCCCTGGCCCTGGAACTCAGAGCGTCTCAACCCCGGGAACCTTGGCCGTCTCTTCCCAGCCGAGCTGAGCTCCGTCACATGAGCCCTCTTTTCACAGCTTCCTGACCCTAGAACACAGGGGGCAGCCCTCTTCCCTGAGCGCAGTCTGCGGCTTCAGACCCGCTGGAAACAATCTGGCAATCTCGACCCAGCGGCAGCCTCACGTTCACACGGCTAGCAGAGCCCTCAAGTGTACCACAGCCTAACCGAAACGGGGGGAGCGGTCCTCATTAAAACAGCCTCAGGGAAGGTGCACTATGGTGGGAGCCAGGAGACCATGAGGTCAATTCTCACCTCGTCTACTCACATCTGTTTATATTTGCATGTGTGTCACAGCCCTGAGTCCTGAGCAACGCCTGGGGCCGGGAGTAGGTAAGAGCCAGCCTCCCTGTTGTACAAATGAGGTAACTGAGGCGATCTCTGGTCACTCTGGGAATAGAACCCAGGTCTCTACCAGCAGACCCCAGTCGCAGACATGCTACCATTCAGAATACTGCCGCTAACCACCAGCCCACACCCCCTCCCAGAGCCAGGAATAGATCCCAGCCCAGACCTCTATCACCTGAGCTAGAGGAGCTCTAAAACACTGGCTTGTCCAATGCTGACACTACAGTGAAGAGACCGAAGGCACCAGCAAAACCTCTGAGGAACAGGAGCCATTTTCCCAAAGGCAGCTTGTGGCACCAGTCCGGTTGGAAACAAAGGGAAACAGCAGCTATCCGCTAGGGACGCCTCTTCCACTAGCCACATAGTGTCCGTCTTTACTGTGGGCACGAGCGTCGTCACAGACTCCGAGATCCCAAGGCCAGAAGGGACCACTTGGGTCATCTAGTCTGACCCCCTGTAGAGCACAGGCCAGAAACTGGCCCAAAATAACTCCTAGAGCAGGTCTTTTAGACAAATATCAAATCTTGATTTAAAAATTGCCAATGATGGAGAATCCACCATGCCTCTTGCTAAATCGTTCCAACGGTTAATTACCCTCATTGACATCTTATTTCCAGTCTGAATTTGTCTGGCTTCAACTTCCAGCCATCGGATCAAGTTAGACCTTTCCCTGCTACATTATTAAATCGTTGTTCCCTTCTCTTTGTCAAGCTAAATAGATTGAGCTCTTTGAGTCTCTCACAACAAGGCAGCTTCTTATCTTTTAATCATTCTCATGCCTCTTTTTGGACCCCTCTCTAATTTATCAACATCCTTCTTGAACTGTGGCTACCAGAACTGGACAGAGGATTCCAGCAGCGGTCGTACCAGTCCCAAATACAGAGGTGAAATAACCTCTGCTCATACTCAGAATTCCCCTGTTGATGCATCCCAGGCCTGCATTAGCTGTTTTGACCACAGCTTCACACTGGGGGAGCTCATGTTCAGCTGATCATCCACCACAACTCCCAAATCTTTTTCAGAGTCACTGCTTCCCAAGATAGAGTCCCCCATCCTATAAGTGTGGCCTACATTCTTTGCTCCCAGATGTATACATTTATATTTAGCTGTATCAAAACATATGTGTTTTAATACGACTAAGTTTATTTGCCAGTTTACTAAGAGATTCAGATTGCTCTGACTCAGTGACCTGTCCTAGTAATTATTTACCACTTCCCTGATTTTTGGGTAACCTGCAAACATGATCAGTGATGATTTTATGTTTTCTGCCAGGCCACTGATAAAATGTTAAATAGCGTAGGTCCAAGAGCCGATCCCTGCTGGACCCCACTGGAAACATACTCCTCAATGACAATTCTCCATTTACAGTTACATTTAGAGACTATCAGTTAGCCAGTTTTTAATCCATGTAATGTGGTCCATGTTAATTTTACATCATTCTAGTTTTTAAATCTTCAGTCCTATTTGGTAGCTTTGGTTCCTGTGATGGGGTATACAGACCCCACACTGGGTAGCACAGGTTAATGAGTTCTTGTGGGCTCGAGTGGCCCCACCCCATCACACCTGTGAGAGGCATCGGAGTTGGAGGGAGGAACTTAAAAAGGGCAAACCCAGCACAGCTGGCGGGAGAGCAGATCTGTGGTCCTCAGCCCCTGGAGCAAGGCAGGAGCTCCTCAGCTGACCACTGCCCTACAACTCCTCCCTGAAGAAAAGGAGGGTCATGATGCTGATCAACTTTTGATGGGATTATTCTTCCGTATTAGCTTGTGAGCCCAGTTGGGGCCAAAGCTTCCCAGAAGGAGCTGAAGAGAGAGCCTTAGTCCCCCTGGGGGCAGCTCATGTCTGTCCATGTCTTTTGTCTTTGTTGATAGCCCCAGAAGCTGCACCAGCGTGGTGGAACACCCACACAGCACAGGGCAGGGGCTGGGAGCGTGCAAAGCCTGGGCTAGAGCGTGCCTCGGGGCAGGAATGCAGAGACAGACCTGTTGCCAGGAATGGGAGTAAGGGCAAATGGTGACCAAGATAGGAAAAGCACCGACTGACATTGCTTAATTACAATCGAACGTCCTTAGATGAACAGTGAAGGAATGTTGGTGGTAAATTTTAGTGACATGGAAACTGACCGAGAACAAACCAGCCATTTGGGAGCTAGAGGGTTATGGGAAAAGGGTCAGATATAGAACATTTCTTAAAAGGCCCATTTTAACAAGGTAATGGGTCACTTGCAGATCTCCAGGACATGCACCTCGCTCCCAGGTGGTGGAATAGAAGCTGGTGAAGAGGCAGTGTATTCTCCATGCAAATTGAGAGCTTGAATCTCTGCTGCATGGGAACAGCAGGGCCCTGCTTACAGCCCCTCAGTCCTCCCAACCCCGCACTGGATGCAGATGGGAGGACACAGAATCGGGGCCTGAAATGGTGTATTGGAAACTGTTAAAATTATAAGCTATCACATTACGTTCTCAGGGGTTTTCCCCAGCCTGCTTGCAGGCTAGGGGGCACGGTAGGGAAGTGTGTGATCAGAGTCTTCAGCAGCCAGACTGCAAAGAGCTGACCTAGAGTAATTTGGGCCCCTCTGCCTTAGGGAGCAGCCTGCTTTGTCTCTCTCTGGTTTTGGTGTGGTAGGGTTCTGGAGGCTAAGAAATAAAGCCATGTCTAACTTAAGTTTGTATGCTGTGAATATAACACCTACGGAGGTTAAGAAACCATTCAATGAGGTGGGCTAGTCAGAGTTCAGTGGCCTGCCTTTGCAAGCCCATGGCTCTAGATTTATAAGAGCTAGATTTATGGGCAAAAAGAACAGGAGTACTTGTGGCACCTTAGAGACTAACAAATTTATTAGAGCATAAGCTTTCGTGGGCTACAACCCACTTCTTCAGATGCATATAGAGTGAAACATATATTGAGGAGATAT